TTGCATCGATTGTGGACCTTTTCTCCCTGAAACCATATTGTTCTAGGGCTAAATCACCCCATCTCTCTATTTCAGATTTTAGTCTGATAAGAATTAGTTGTTCCAGCAGCTTCGCCAATACATTCAGTACACAGATGGGACTGTATGATTTGGGGTCCTGTCTTGGTTTTTCCTTGTCTATTAACACCAATCTTGCCGTCTTTCATTCTATTGGAAATTCTCCTGTGCTTATCATCCCATTTACTGCTTCCAGGCATTTTTGAGGGTGGCTGCGGATTATAATCTTCACTACTTCTGTCGGGATTTCATCTGGCCCTGGTGCTTTCTTTTCTTTCAGTCGTTCATTTGCCTTTAGTAACTTTTCTTCTGTAAATCTTGGTATTTCCTCTACCTTTACCGGCATCCTATCCCACTCCCTTACTTGATGATCCGGAAACAGTGCCTTCGCAACTTCTAGCTATTGTTCATTAGTCATAGAAATCGGGTGATTAAACTGCAGCTTTTGTGTAACAATCTGATAGCCTTTGCCCCACACATCCGCATCCACTTCGGCTATAATTTTTTTCCAGCTTTGTATCTTCGCTTGTCTTATAGCTATCTTAAGTTCTTTCTTTTCAGCTTATATCGTTCTCTAAGGATTATCTTCTGGTTTTCATTATTTGCTTTGTTTGTCCTTAACATTGCCCTTCTACTTTGCACACATTCCATTCTTCTCTCAGCTATTTCCTTAGTCCACCAATAAACTGGTTTCTTCCTTAGATTTTCCCTTTTCTTACGAAATGTTTTATTACAATCTGTCTCTATTGCGATGGTTATCTCTCTAGCTGTTGTTGCTGCCCTCTCATTAATATCTATTACTTTGCCGAATTCTTCCACTAATTTATGCATGTTTTCTTTGTTAATTTGCCAGCCTTTCTTGCTGATGCTCCTTCGGTCTTGTTTCTTGTCATTGTTTTCCTGGAGTTCATACAAAATATGTTGATGTAAGCTTAAGTTTTCTTCCTCTAACACTCTCCAGTTAATCAGGTGTTTGGCTATTTTTTTTTGTGCTGAAAGTTATGTCTATATAGGATTCACTATTTCCCCTTATAAATGTAGGAACATCTCCTTGATTATGTATCACCAAATCCTCTTCTCCTAGCCATTCTAACAGTATTTCTCCTCTTTTGTCTTCAAACTTTGAACCCCATAAGACTGACATATATTCAAGAATAGCTATCCTATCCTATCTGTATTTGTTTGGCCAACTGCCAATATTGCAGTGTTGTAAAGAACTGGTCCTAAGGGACACTTACTTTGTTTTCGGGTCAATAACCGATAGCTTTTCTGATATTTAATCAGATTTCATCTGTAATTTTCAAATTATTTTATAGATTTTATAACGAAGGTTCTTCCTAAAGGCTGGGGCGGCCGGACTATGTGTTACCGCCGCCGTCAGCCTACCTGTGGAGCTTCGTGACGCACTGTTGCTCCGCGCTTCCTCTACCTGCCTGCCTAAGAATCGTCCAAAAAATAGTGGAAGATGTCGCAACTGTAACCTTTTGTGTTGCTTACTTTTTTACTAGCTTTGTTATCTTTGGACAGAGGCTGGAGCACGAATGTAATTAGCGAAGCGCTCATTTATAGTGCTTTCCACAGTTATTTAGAGTTAAAAAAGAAACATCAATAACAATGTGTTTTCAAATGGAAATTATAATTTTCGGATCCAATTAAATACTTCATTTAAAGAAGAGAGTACATAAAAACTAATTTAATAATTTTTTAAACACAATATTATTTAAGAAGAGTCTTTAGGGTGTTATCGCAAAACATTACTGATAATTTATTATCTCTAAATTTTCAGATGGGGATATTAGTGATTACTCCAAATTCATGAGCGGTGCAGTTTTTAAAATCGTTTCCGAAATATCCATTTTGGTTCATTTTAAGTACGACATTCTGTAAACATGGTGTCATTTCCAAACGGGGTCATGCCAGCTTTAATTTTTAAAAGGCGATTAATCTGAAATTTTCATTTTCATTTTATGTCTTCATAAAATTAAAATTTTGCAATTTCCCTCAAATTTCTTTATTACGGTCCATTTTAGAGAAATCATGTTTGTACAAAAATGTTAAATGTTATATTACAAACAACTCTTATTAAACTAAATAACCAATGTCACGTTTTAAATTTATAAATAAAATTGGTGTCACACTTTACCATACATTGAACAGTAATAATATGTTCACCTATTCTGTGGCATTGAGTTGCTTTAAGCTGTGGCGATGTCATCGGCAATGTATATGTAGCATTAAAGCAGTGGTCGCCAACTTGTCGATCGCGAGCTACCGGTAGCTCGCGGAGGCAATTCTGGTAGCTCTCACAACGATTTTAATTTAAAAAATACAAACTGCAAAAATCAGAGAAGCTTCCGAAAATTCCACAAAAACATCTAATTGTCATAATATTAAACATAAACAGCGGCAACCTTGCGGTGAGCGATCTGCCGCTGACTCCATCAAGCTAGAATCGGCTAGAACCGACCAGCCCGACCAGCGCGTTATAGTCCAGTCATTTAAGCTTAAATTAGGTAAGAATCTCGGAACTGGAGATACCCAGCTGTAAGTCTGTAAATACTTGTATATTGACACGCTAAAAGTTATTTCAAAACCTACATATGGTAGGGTGTACGCAACTATTAAATTTCAAGGTCAAATGTCACAAAAATCGGTTTTTTGCGCTTTTTTGGAAATATCTCATTTTTTATGAGTTTTTTGCTATTTGTATTTATTATCAATATTGTAGAATACAAAATTCTCTACAAATTTTGTTTAAAAAAATTCAGATTACAGTAAGAACGTAAAAGCTATGGAGCAGCAGAGAAGATGAAACAATAGTTGTACCAGTTACTCAAGAAAAATTCTTATCAAATCGAAATAACAAAGATATGGTCATTAATATGTTAATTGAAAAATTACAAGCTGCAAATATTACTACTAAACAAGCCAGAGATAATGCTGATGTTCTTATTGTTGAAACTGCAATTGAAGAATCAAATTCTGAAAAAAACTGCAGTTATAATAGGACAAGATATTGATTTACTTGTCATTTTAATTGGGCGTACACTGTCTTACGAACAAGACATTTTCTTTAAAAAGTTGGGAAAGGAAATGTAAAAACGGGGATATACTTGACTAAAAGTTTTGATAATTATCCTCATCCCAAAACACATATTTTATTTCTGCACGCATTAAGTGGCTGTGACACAACTTCTGCGCTTTTTAAAAAGGGAAAAAATCATTTTTTAAAGTTTTTGAGAAACTGACAAATTTGAATGAACTAGCTGCAGCATTTGAGAAAGAAAATTGTTCAGCCCAGAGATTATTAGAGAGTGGAACTCAAATCTTATTGGCAGTCTATAATGCTCCGAAATCTGTGAAAAGTCTCGATCATCTTCGTTATATGCATTACGTCAAGTCTACAAAACTTAATTAACCTGTGCAGCTTTCAAATATTCTACCAACAAAAGCAGCTGCTCATCAACTTTTCAAACGTGTATATTATTAAGTTCAAACTTGGTTAAGGCATGATTTGGAACCCCAGGTATGGAGTTGGGCAATGCGAAACGATTTTCTGGAGCCTATCATGACAATTTTACCACCTGCTCCAGAAGATTTGCTAAATACAATTTTCTGCAACTGCAAGAGTGGTTGTGGTTCGCGATGCTGATGCAGGAAAGCGGGCTTGCAATGCTCTTTAGCTTGTGGCCAATGTAATGGGCAAGCTTGTTTCAATGCTCTACCATATCAGAGCGACATTAACGAAGATGGAACCTTTGACCCCGAAATCATGGAAGAACTTGAGAGAAATGTCGTTGAAGACGATAATGAAGACCAGTTTGAAATTTACCAGCAGCCGGAAGACGACGATGAAGAGTAAGAAGATTATTAAAATTATAAATTGTAGTTTTTGTACCTTTTATTCCATTTTTTTTACTTTTAATAAAAATAAATGTATTGAATGAATTTTTTTAATAAAAAGATTAATTCATAATTTATTTGTTTTTTTTCATCATGTAAGAATTTATTAATATTAATTAGGTTAAAATTCAAATATAATTCCTATATTTTCATTAACAATTTTGCAATTACATGGGCAGGTAAGTGTTGTTAAATAAATTAATACTAAATAAAAAGTGGATAGGTTAGGAAAAAAAATGATAAAATATAATATAATAGTTAATAAAAATTGACAAATATTTATAATCATTGATTTATCGATATTTCATCAACTATATATGGCGCGTTTTCGACCGGAGGCACCGGTTGACCTGAAGTGATGCTGTGACCGCGCGCTCTCCGTCATCTATCTCGAAAACGGTTCACCGTATGAAAAATTTTTTTAAACAAAATTTTTAGAGAATTTTGTATTCTACAATATTGATAATAAATACAAATAGCAAAAAACCCATAGGAAATGAGATATTTACAAAAAAAGCGCAAAAAACCGATTTTTGTGACATTTGACCTTGAAATTTAATAGATGCGTACACCCTACTATATGTAGGTTTTGAGACAACTTTTAGGGTGTCAATATACAAGTATTTACAGACTTACAGCTGGGTATCTCGAATTCCGAGGTGAACTTACTATAATGATTGGACTATTAGTGTTCGAGAACGATCAGGATTGCTTTGAACGGGATAAATACGCACGTCGCGGCGACATTGCGCTTAGTTTAAAACTGAACGGGTAACCAACGTCCAGCGGTTGGGTTAGTAGAGAACAACAAAAAATAATATGGCAAGCAGTTGTAAGAAGGTAAAGACATACCACTTTCATTCGGAATGGGAAGAACAATACTTTTTTACAGAAGTTAAAGATAAAAATGTGTGTTTGTTATGTAATACTTCGGTCTCCATTGCTAAAAAAGGAAATATTGAGAGACATTATAAAACTGTACATTCTAATTTTGTACATTCTGCCGCCAGAAAGGAGAAACTGAAACAGTTAAAAAAAGCAGTTAATTGGAGAACAATCAATATTTTTAAGAACAGTCGACAAAAATAATGCTGCAACTGAAGCATCGTACCGTGTGTCCCAGATAATTGCACAAAAAAAGAAACCTTATGAAGACGGGGAAATGATAAAACAGGCGTTTTTAGAAGCTACTATTCGTTATTTGCCAACTTTAGAAATAAAGACGAGATAGTTTCAGCTATAAAAGCTATGCAACTTTCTGCTAATACAGTGATGAGACGTGTAGAAGTACTGAGCAATGATATTTTTTTACAGTTAAGAACTGACTTAGATAACTGTGTTTATTTTTCACTTCAACTGGATGAATCAACAGATGTCGTTGACACTGCCCAGATGGCCGTGTTCGTCAGGATGGTTTTTAGTGATTTTAAGATTAAAGAAGATTTTTTGAAGTTTATTCCACTGAAAGGACACACTACTGGACAGGAGTTGTTTTCTCATTTAACAAATATTATTTCTTTCGAGAAAATTCCAATATCGAAAATGGTAGGCTTGACAACCGATGGTGCTCCAGCTATGGTGGGTTGTGATAAGGGTCTGGTGGCGTTATGTCGTAAAGATGAAACTTTTCCGCAATTTCTCTGTTATCACTGCATTATCCATCAGCAAGCATTATGTGGAAATTTCCTGAAACTAAACAACATTATGAAACTGGTGGTAAAAATTGTGACCAAGATTAGAGCTCAAGCATTACAAAGAAGATTATTCAAAACCTTGGCCAATGAAGTTGACTGTCAATACAAGGACCTACTCCTTCACTTTGAAGTTCGATGGTTAAGAGAGGACGGATGCTGAAACGTTTTAATGATGTCCTATCTGGCATAGTTTAATTTATCAAACAACGCGATGAACCGACTCCGGAACTAGAAAATTCAATCTGGCTTAGAGATTTTAGTTTTCTCGTGGACATTACAGAGAAATTAAACGAACCTAATTTGCAGCTTCAGGTGAGAGACAAAGAACTAGCGGAAATGATTTCTGATATAAAAGCATTTATCAAAAAGCTGGAGTTTTGGGAACAAAACCTAATTAACAGCGATGCCAAGCATTTTCCTATTCTTTCAGAAAAAATATTTCAAATTTCATTAGAACCCTATGACAGCAATTATCATGTAGAAATAGTTTTTACCCTGAAGAATAACTTCAAAAATCATTTTAATGATTTTAACGAAATGGCTTTAGTAGCGCAGTTTGTTGTTTCACCCTTTATGGAAATTGATATCCAACAGATTGCAACTTGTGTTATGCAGAACTTTGGCGAAGACATCGCTGCAACAGAAATGGAAGTAATTGAATTTCAAAATAATTTAGCCTTAAAATCGTTAGTCTCAAGTACCAAATGTATCTGGCCTATTGTAAGTAAAGACAAATATTCAGTTCTATGCCGTGTTGCCTTGAAAGTGAAAGCATTATTCACTTCAACCTATTTGTGTGAATCTTCTTTTTCCAATATGAAGTTTATTAAGAACAAATATCGCAATCGACTTACAGATGAACATTTGGATAATTGTATTCGAATGGCTGTATCAAATTATACTGCAAACATTAAAAAAAATTATCGATGAGTCTGAGTGTCAGCCTTCTCATTGAACCTGCTTTTTTATTTTTCAATGTTTATGTTCATGATAGTGCGTTACTTTTTTGTTATTATTAACTATTTTTAAATCTTACGTGACATGCCGTTGTGGCTGGATAAAAGTTTGTGTTTATTTTTCAAACACCTTCGTTTGGTAGGTAGGAATGTAGCTATGAACAAGTACGTACTAGTAATATTAGTTATTTTGTTATTAATTTATTATTATTACCTATGTATTATGTATTACCAGTTAAATAGTAAAATAAATACATATAATGATAAATTAACTGTGGATTATTTTATTTACGTTGCGTTACGTGGCTTCCGTGTGGGTAGCTCGCTGTTTATTCCAAAATTAACAAAGTAGCTCAACACATTGAGAGGTTGGCGACCACTGCATTAGAGACATACGTCTGGACACTCTATGGTTTACATAAACGAGTATAGATTAATGTTGAAGGGAAAAACAATGCGCAGTGGCAATGTCAAAAGGACCTTAGTGTATATCTTCATTGATATTGGTCCGATTTAAACAGTAAAAATGGCATTCTGAAGAAGACGTGGTACAGATTAACAATAAAGTGAAATATCAAGCGCAGTGGCAATTTAAAAACAATCCAGGTCTATATATTTATTGCTATTGGTCTGATTTGCATGGAACAAACGGTGCTAAAGAAAAAAATCATGCGCAGTAGTAATGTCAAAAGGATCCAAGTGTATATCTTCGCTATTATTGGCCCGATTTAAACAAAGAAAACGACGTTGTGAAAGAAACACAACATAAAATAACTGTGAAGAGAAGGACCTAAGTCTATATATCTACTGTTATTGGTCCTATTTAAACTGAAAAAACGGGGGAGTGGGAGGAAATCACATGTAGATTAACGTTGAAGACATGACACTCTTGCTAATATTACGTAAATTGTTCAGTATTGAGATGTCTAGCGAAGAGAATAGACATAGAATTGAAGAGTTTATAGAAAAAGTTAATGATTTGAGTAGATACGTAACATGATATGAAGACAAAAACTAGTTTTGAACGACCTAATAAAATATAACTCTTTGAAATAAAGCCTTTAAGAGACATAATCCCAATCAGTATCCGCCTAGAATAGTTCAGTTTACCCGCGACGACTTCAGGCCGTAGAGGTTAGGTAAATTAGTTGTTTTTTATTTTTCTCATATTATATATAATTTTTATGCGAAGCACAGGAAAGTTAAGTGGGTTAATTTTTTTTATATTATATATATATATTAGAAAAATATTTCTATTTTCTTTAATATATTTTACATTTTTTTATCCCCATTTTGTCTGAACATCGATTATGTTAATTAGTCTTTAAAATTTGTAATTTAATTTACAATTTGGCAACGTTGTTGTTCTTAAGACAGAATTTGACAATATAACCTACAAAATCGAGATTTTTATTATAATTTTCTCGAAAAATAGTGGCTTTTCTGCATTTTTATTTTAAGTAGTATAGAAACTAGTTACTTTTAAATGTTTAATTTTTTTTATAAATTCGTGTATCTGGATTCTTTACCGGATGATTAAAGAACATTTCTAATAGTTTATTTCTGATTTGATTTCCTCTTCTTAATGTCGCATCTCTGTTATTAGGTATTTTCTAACCCATATTTATTTTAAAATTTATGTAAAATGACATACGTGAACCATTCTGTATATTTGTTTTATTATTTTATTATGTTTTGATTCAGTGTTACTCTTCAGACATTTTATTTATTAGTAAGCGGTATCTAAAAATTCCACGCGAGTTGGTTGTACTTATTTTTGTCCATCTTCAAATTTCCTGTTCTCCTTCAGAATGAGCTGCCTCTATACATTGTAATTTAGATAATCTGGCTTTTAAGACTTCAAGTTCTTTATCCGCAGTTTTAAGATGATCAAGTGTATCTACATATTTGGCTTTAAGGTATGTATAAGTGTCTAGACCTGCTTCGCGAGATAATTTATCGATAACAAAAACTGTTACGCTTTCTGGTTTAACAAGCTGTTCAAAAATGTCGGCTATAACGTTAGTTAATAGATCTACTATTCCAGCTTTTTCTAGGAATTTTTGGAAATCACCTCTTTTTCCTGGTGTCTTCTTTGAGGTATGAGCAACGCACATTATTTGTTTACTTTATATAATTTAGGGACTATTGAAATATGAAACTGGAATTTTTTTCTGTACAGATTTTTTTAAATTTGACAGACTTTCAAGTCTGAATAGACATGGAACTCGAGATATTCGAATGCAGTCTATGTCCAGACCAATGACATAAATTATATAGACTGCTTATCCATATATAAAAGTGGGTCATGTTCTAGTCGTCCATGGGTAAGTTCGGTTTGGAACCCGACGGATAGCACAGAGTGCGCACGGAGTGCGTGATGTCATAGACAGAGTTCACTCTTTTTAGAATCTCAAGACGAACACAAGGGGAATGACATATGACACTAGTGATAGTTTGCACTTGATTACACTTTTGTGTATGTCTATAGACTGTAAAAAAATAATTTTAATCAAATAGAAAATAGTTATAACAGAAACAAACAAGAAATAATACGTGTAAAAACTGATTATTCGCCGATAAGAATATTGACATTTGACATTTTTGACACATTCCTACAGACACCCGCTGATCTCCATCGGCCAACTCGGGGAAGAGTGAGTGCGCTCCGAGTACGTGATCTGTCGCAAGCCGAACACAAAAGAGTACGCTCTGAGTGCTAAGACGACCACAATTAAGGCATACCGAGTGCACTCTGAGTACAGCGAACGCCAAACCGAACTCAGCCCATATTGTCTTGCCGAGTGCTCACCAGGCAGAATAGGTCTGGGCCCAAATGAGTTTAAAACCCATATTTCATCAAAGTGGAAATTGAATTAAAAAGATAATTATAGAGCATTCAGTATAAAAATCGATACACGTGGGGTAAGTTCGGTTTGGACCTCGACGGATCGCACAGAGCGCGCACGGAGTGCGTGACGTCATAGACAGAGTTCACTCTTTTTAGAATCTCAAGACGAATACAAGTGGAATGACATATGACACTAGTGATAGTTTGCACTTGAATACACTTTTGTATGTGTCTATGGACTGTAAAAAAATAATTTGAATCAAATAGAAAATAGTTATAACAAAAACAAACAAGAAATATTACATGTAAAACTGATTAATCACCGATCAGAAAATTGACATTTGACATTTTTGACACATTCCTACAGATACCCGCTGATCTCCATCGGCCAACTCGAGGAAGAATGAGCGCGCTCTGAGTACGTGATCTGTGGCAAGCCGAACACAGGAGAGTACGCTCTGAGTGCCAAGGCGACTACAATCGAGGCATACCGAGTTTTGCCCAATCTTCAAAATAGTCTAAGAATGTAGGAATTTTTAAAACTATGAGAATATGTTTTTTTGGCTATGTTATTAGGAACAATTAAATTTAAATGTATAATGAATTCTATATAAAAGCCAATGAAGGTCATTGATAATATTTAAATTGAAGTTTTAGAAAAACACTGAATTTAATAGTAATAAATTTTGCACAAGAGGTTTAAAATGACAAAAAAAGGTTAGGTTAAGGATGAAAAAACAACAAATTTTATTTAGGCTTGATTTAATTTACAATTAAAAATAATTATGTTCAGTTAGTTTATAAACAGCCATATTTAAAAGAAGTAACAATAATTAGAACAGTTAGGTAATAAAATTAACAACACATGCCATTTTAATACTTAAATAATATTTAGGCTAAAATCAGTCAGAATATTAATAATAATAATAATAATAATCGGTCCAGTATATATTCTCTTTCACACCATTTAAAAATTTCTTTTTTAATGTGTCTTACACTGTTTTGTCCACATTTGTGGGGTAATGGTTCGGAGTGCTTCAGACCACATGTCTATACAATCTCTCTGTATCTTTCCATCCCGACCAATGTGCCTGTTATAATATTATTTTGAAATACCTCAAATCAGTTCTATTGGATTAAAAATACAATGGTAAGGAGGAAGACGTAACACCTTATGTCCATACTGTTTAGCCAGCATATCAGCTACATATATTTTTGGTGGTTTATTATTAAAAAAAATAAAATTATTTAAAAAATACAGGAAAAGTAGATTTCCATTACTCACCGTCTAACAAGGTTCAAAAGTTCTAAACATGGTGACTAAATAAGGTATGTTCTAATTCGTTAACCACTTGTGAATTTGAACCTTAGTTGAATTACTATTTGGTGTTTTATGTGCCAATGTGCTATGGTATGAAGCATTGTCCATTACAATTAAAGATGGTTCATGCAGTCTTTGAAGCAATTGTTCTTCGAACCATTTTAAAAAATTTTCATTATTCATCTCACAGTGATAATCATAATCAATGCTTTTTGAAGCAAATATGGCCTCGGCACCATCAATAAATCCATTTTCGTTTCCAGCATGAAGAATTATATATCTATAAAAAAGATCAATACACAGTTAACATGTTATATTCATTAGATTTTTTTATTAACCTTTTACCATCAACTTTTGTACTTTTTACACTTCTTTTATTGCTGTCTTGCCAAGAACGGTTTATGGTGCCATTTTGGAAAATCCAAGTCTCATGAATAAAAACAAACTGGTACAAATTTGCTTCCTTTTCTTTGGTATATTTTCTTAAAAACTCTGCCCGTTTCACAGCAATATCTGGAAGTTCCATAAGACCTCGCCTTGGTTCATCTTTCTACCATTTGAGACCTATTTTTAATAATAAGGTATCCAATGATGTGCGACATCCATTGAACAACTTCTTCTCATTAAGTTTCACCAACAAAGAATCTAAACTTACATGCTCCTCTGAAATCATACATTAATTTGTAATTGTTTAATAATAATTTATATACATATACACTTACAAGACTCATACATGCTATAAATAACATCTCGAATAGCACTGGTATTCAGAATTCTTATGTTGGTAACTTTCTTTTGCCTAAGGCGCTTTTTTGGTGGTGACTTTAGAACTTCACTGTTTTTTACAGCTTGTGAAATAGAACTAACAGTAGAAAAATTGAGATTAAGTGCTTCTGCGACACGCTGAAACAAAATAACTATATTAATTTGGCGGTAATCTCTACTAGACTAAACTTTCTTTTAAACCATTTCTGTAAAAGGTTTGTCTACCAAAGAGCACTCACAAATGAGACAAAACAGAAACATTACATATACTAGACAAAGAGAAAACATCTCTTAGTTCGACTTGCTATTCATCGTCTTATTTACATATGGATGAGCAATCTATATAAACTATATATGTCATTGGTCCAGACCACGAGATCAGGGACATCCGTCCAGACTATGAAGGAGAAAATCTAAGTATCTGCTATGAGGACTGTCCAGCAGGGGGTCGATTCTCGACTTGTAGGAACCTTTTCCTATAGGAATTTGTGACACTTTCCTATAGATAGGAAAATGTCATAAATTTTCGATGTATATAAAAATGTCAAAAATTCCTATAGGAAAATATTCCTACGAGTCGAGAATCGACCCCCAGGTATCGGTAACTGGTATAGCCCGAGCTGAAACTATATTTTTGTTTCAAGGAACAGATTCTAGATGGCGCTGTACACAACAATTTACAGAAATCTACAATTGATGGTGGAAAGAGTGGGAGTGTCATTTGTCATTGTCAATTGTCAGGCATCCATTATCGATTACCTCGCGGTGAATGACATTTGCCATTTTACCTGTATTTTTTGTGATTATCAATATCATATTGTCAATAATTATAATTTGTTTGTATTTGGGTGTGCTCTGGATCCTGGATGAATAAATAGTAAGTATTTTGTAAATAATTGTTTATTGTATTGTCAACTTGGTCTTGTTCAATTGTGTTTTAAATGTTCAATTTGTTTACTTGATCTTGCTGACGATTGAGCTTATTTTAAATTTTTGTGGTCATTTTTAGTTATAAAAGCTGTAATATATCGTATTGTTGTATGCCAAATTGTTTTGTAAACACTCTGAAATCCTAATAACGATTTATTTCAAATTTGAGTATTGGGTGTTCGCAGTCCATTTTTCAAGAATAAAACAACAAATTTGTAAAAACTATTTAGTATGTGATAAACATTTTGAAGATATGTTTAAAGTTCTTGGTGCACGCAGCGATCGATCTAACTGTATTTTTATTTGTTCTAGTACAAACTTTTTCAAGCCGTTTGGAGTGGCAGTAGTATTGCATTGTTGAAGACAAAAACAGCCTAGTCAGGGAAGTAATAGTCACTGTACTTTTTGTATTCATGCCTCACATTTGATTTTTATATTGATTTAGTTCAGATTGTTTCTTTTACTGTTTTTGTATTTGTTCTAGTACAAACTTTCTTCAATCCGTTTGGAATGGCAATATTGGATTGTGGAAGACAAAATAGCATAGTCCGGGAAGTAATGGTCAGTATACCTTTTTTTATTTATGCCTCACTTTCTGTGCTCCCCAACAGATTTGAAGGGTTCAGGAAAAAAAGGGGCCTAGTCACAATTACCAAAATGTTCAGAAAACCAAATTTAATTTAGACTGACTAAATACAAACTTTTGATACTTTAAGGTATTGATTACAAAAAGATGTTACTTTGTTTAAATGTTGCCTGATTATATTGTAGTTTACCACTTAATTTACCAGACAGTTGTAATTTTTTATTCTAAATACTAAAAATGACAAACAAACAGTAGGAAAGTCCTTGGACATAATTTTAAATGCAGTTTTGCATTTGCTAATACTGGTATTTTACAAAATAGGGCGGGCCAGTTCAATTTTGATAAAAATGTGGCTTAGCTCCTTTTTTCTTCCTGTACCCTTCTTGATTTATAAGTTGATTAATATTTATTTTTTTTTTTAGATAAAACTCTTCGACCTCTGTGGACAATGACTTAACTTTCCACCTAATTAATACGCTACATTTAATTATTCTATTTTGTATGTTTTTTTTGTTTTAATAAATTAATTTTGTTAATCATGCTTTTTAATTTTTTGTAAAAATATTTCAACTTGTAGTCAAGTTAGGATTGGTTCATACTACTCATTTTTTGCTTTATTGTAACAAATATAATTTTATTGCTACAATAAACGTAAAAAAGGAGTTGGTATGAACAAATCTTAATTTGACTACCACTTTTAAACTAAATATTGAAGGACCATTTTGAATGTTCCCGCGTTTTGTGTTAACTAAAGTGACCGCGAGATGGCGCCACTTCCGCCAAATAGTTCAAAGAACGCACAGCGGGTGTTACAAAACTG